CTACAACCACATAGAGATATTAAGCGTAAAGATGAAACATCACTATAGTTACTTCCAAATTTAGTTAAACCTATTATGAAAAAATATGACAAATTATAACATCAAAAGGCAAACCCTTCTCTTTAAAAAAAAAAACTATTAAAAATTTTCAAGAAAATGACATTAAAGCCTAATGTGTGAAAAGAAAATTGTTGGGTTTATCGCAAATCTATTGTAAAATGATAGGGTATTAGATGATATTAGTGAGGAAAATTCTCACCCATTCTGCTGGTTTTTTAAAATGAGAGATCGAATAACATCCAACACATGTCAAAACCAAGTCAAATAAAAATTCGATGTTGAAGTTGGCGGTAGTTCAAGTCAAGCTCAAAATACTTCTTTTCTTTGTTAAGAGATATTAGGAATTTAAGGTACAATCATATTTTAGTCTCTAGCATATCAAAACCATAAGAGTTGAGATAATCATACACATTACACTAAAAGGATTTTAGTAGAATCATAGACACTGTAATTATGGAAATTATAAACATAATAAACTCTCTCAATCCTTAATTTGTTTGGCTTGAAATTTAAAAATTTTGTCAAAGCATCTACAAATCAGGGGGAGGAAATACCTCAAATATTGCAATAATGATAAATATGAGAAAACTAAGTAGCCAAAGTCTTTCAATCCTTATTTTGTATAGCTCTGAATTTTAAAAATTTTGTTAAAGTTTTCACAAATGGAAAATACTGAGATAAGGATACAAAATAATGATAGACATGAGAAAACTAGTGGCAAAAAGTTACCTATAACTTTCAAATAGTTGAAGTCCATTAATGTATGTCATGAAACAATACCATTGATCACTGCGGTAACAACTCCAATTATTAAAATGATAAAACAAACTGAAAATATGACATATCATGTGTCCCGTATGCGCTTGACGTTGAATTTAAGGTGATATATTGGTGAAAGAAATAGTGGCGAAACATATAATTTCTCTATACTTAAATTCTTGGTACGAGAGAATGGAAGGGAGCATATAATTCTCACCGTGGACTTACTGTGGCAAATCTTGAAATCAAGAAATGATATGCAGTTCAATAACAAGAGGAGAGATCCAATGACAGCAGTAAATAAGGCGCTCCTGGAGTGGAATGAATATCAGATGGCTCAAGAGGATGGAACAGTAAAAGAAAGTCAAGGAAAAGAAGAGGCAGAGGAGGACATGTGCTGGAAAAAACCACAAGCAAGCTGGATCAAAGTTAACACAGATGCAGCTTTGAATAGGAAGATCAACAAAGCAGGATGGGGCATTGTGGCTAGGAATTGGCAAGGAAAGCTAATAGGTACCTGGGCATGCCCAACCAGAAGCGGTGCTGATGCAAAACTGGAGGAAGCAATGGCACTGAGGGAAGCAATGGTAATTGCCAGCCAAATGGGATGGAGGAAAGTAGTATTTGAATCTGACCGTAAACAAGTAGTGGACAGGATCAATGCAAATGAGGAGGAGGTCAGAATTGCTACTATTCTGATGGATATTTGGAGATTGAAGAAAGTTTTTGATGAATGTTGTTTCTTCTTCACCAGAAGGAAAAACAACTTTGCGAGTCACCATTTAGCAAAAGTTTACTATAAATTTGATAGATGTAGCTGAATGGAAGCGAGACTTCCCAGTTTGGCTGCTGGAGTTATCTCAAGCAGATTTAGTAGAGCAGCTGCTCTGATTATGTACTATTTTATATGATCAATAACATGCTACCGTTTTGAAAAAAAAAATTCTTGGTACAGGGACTTCAGTAGAGTACAAAATGCCAGAGTCGCCTTGATTTAATGTAAGGTTGAAGTCCAAGGAATGACAGGTTTTGGACTCAAATCATCCTTTCTTCTTCTCGTTTTTTAAATTCCACTTCTTCTCTGTTAGGAAAAAAACTTAAAAGTAAAGTAAAAAAAAAACTTATGGAGTACTAAATGTATTAGAAAATTTTTTTAAAAATAGAGGAAATAGAACGGTCTTGAGCAATGAGATGGAAACCTGCATGCGCCAGAGAAGGTCACTGCAGGGCTTGACTTGGCAGCGGTTGTTCCAGAACTGGGTACGTGCATTCTCAACTTCTTCTCTTTCTTCAGGACTTCTACCGTTTGGGTTGAATTCCCATATCTGCCGGCCGATGAAATTATTAGTGCTATACAAATAAGGGCTGTTATAACCTTCAGCGATCTTTAGTCTCCACATTTTCTCCTCCTAACAGAAAACTTAGGACAATAAACTGTTAAGAGTGCTGCATACTTGCACAAATCGCAAGCTATTTATATCAGCTCACAGACTCGCCAGTTTCCGCCAAATGGTCCTGTGTTGATAACGATAATTAATTTGGCTGCTATATATTGACATCACTGATAGCTGAAGGTTGGTTAGTATTTAGGGAAACTACACAATAAGGAAATTAAAACTACACAATAATGGCCCTGTATTAATTTGAAATTTTTGACTAATTTTATATTGTTCATTTCCTCATCCAAATCCTCCACAATCTTTTACTTCAACTCTTAAAATCTAGAGACCTTTCAAGCCATCTTTTTATGAAAGGGACGCCAGCAAAACTTGCTATTAAAGTAAACTAATAGCTTACAAACGTTTATTTGGTCACATTTTAATTTTCAAAAAAAAAAATTTCAAAAGCCCAAATTATTACTTGAAATGACAATGACCTTTTTTGCTGGCTAAATTAAAACCAACTAAAAAGTAACGAACAGCGAGTAAATTAGACACACAATATTGCTACAAGTATCTTTTTTCTATGACTTTTTTTCCTAAATTGTCAGCCGTTAGATAACAATTTAGGTTTAATCTATCCATTCCTGACCGTTAGATCTTTCTTAATAGCAATAGTTTTATGAAATACAAGTAGTACGATTGTTTTGGGCGAAGGAAATTTGTGGTGAATTTATTAACTTGAAAGATTTGACTAGGTTTATATTGTTCATTTCCTCATCCAAATCCTCCACAATCTTTTCCTTCAACTCTTAAAATCTAGAGACCTTTCAAGCCATCTTTTTATGAAAGGGACGCCAGCGCAACTTGCTATTAAAGTAAACTAATAGCTTACAAACGTTTATTTGGTCACATTTCATTTTTCAAAACAAAAAAAATTTCAAAAGCACAAATTATTACTTGAAATGACAACGGCCTTTTTTGCTGGCTAAATTAAAACCATTAGATTGTAGATATTAAAGTTTCTCCAATTTTCAACTGTATCTAGCTTTCTTCCTGGCATACCCGATCTTTGCCATTGTTGAAGAGAATACGCAGAGCAACTCTCGTTCTTCCCATCTCCTCCTCTTTCCTTTCCCTTCCTTTCCTTCCTGATTCTCATCTTTGTTTTTGTTCTAATTTTAGATTACAGAATAATTATCTCCCCTTTATTTTTCTAAAAGAATGGTTAGTTCTCCCTTTTTCTTGATTTTGTCTTCTCTAAATCAACATTCATGAAAGTTTTATTTAGATGTTTGCCTTCTTTTTCCACATTTTTACTACTGCCGTTGAGTTGAAATGTTGGAATCGGCTCTGTTTGGATTTTTCATTTTTTGAACAATAAGTTTTTCATATATAATACTACAGTAATACAAAAAAAAAAACAACTTCAAAAATACCATATTCATACAATATATCAAAAACAACTCTAAATGTACAAAAAAAATTAAAAAAAAATAAAATCTACCCCATCTTCTTCTCCTATCTATCACCACCACCCACCCACCACCACCCTCACCCGCTCCCTCCACCTCCCACCTCTCTCTTCCACCTCCTCCCCTCCTTCCTTCTCCTTTCCCTTCCCCTCCCCTTTCCCGCTACAACACCACCCCTCCTTCCTCCCCGATCTAGCCTCGACTAGACCTTGGCCGAATCGAGGCCTAGAAGCCTCGATCTGTTCTAGGCCAAATCGGGGAAGGGAGGGGCAAGATTGTGGTGAGAAAGGGAAGGCAAGTAAAAGGAGGAGGATGTGAGGACCCAAAAATTCGTTTCCTATGTTTCTGTTCGTTTACCTTACTTGCCTTCAATTTATGATTGATTTAATGGTTGACACATGATTTTTATTTCCTTGCCATATTTAACTTGGTACATGTCGAGTTTTATAGTACATTATACTAGCGTGACCAACTAGTGAGGTGTGTACAATAAATTTGGTGGATTAGAAGAAGTTTTATGCAAAAGGGATTATGTGACAAAAGTTGTTACGAGTTAATTGGATGAGAGATAGATATTAAGGTGAATTAGAGACAAAGAGATAGACTTACCTTGTAATCTTGCCATTTGTCAACTAGCCAACCAACCTTGATCAACGCTGACCAAGACTACATTTCATTCTTATCCAACCAAGCCTCCATTTGATCCAAAACTTCTTCTTTTCTTGCTATGTTGGATGAAATTTTGAGGGAAAGTGGGTGGGGGAGAGAAAAGCCAAATTTCTAGCCTTGATTTCTTGTCCAAATTAGTGAGAAACCAAAGAAGGAAACCATACTTCACTCCATCAATCTTTGAAGCAAGTTGGAAGGGAGTTCTTGGAGGAAGAAACCCTTGAGCACTTCTTGATTTGCTATCCACTTAGATCTTGGGGAAAAGGGGTAAACTTGATAGAAAACCTATCTTTCTTCTCTTATCTTTGAATTTACTTGATGGGTGATACTCTATAAGGTAAAAGATATGACTTTTGTGGAGGATTGTCAAGTTATATGTGAAATTTCCAGCTTTGGTATATGTGGTGCATAGTTTAGTTTAAAGCTTTATATATGTGGAATTGTGATGGATTTCTTTGCCAAGAATCTATGCCATATGCCTCATGATATGTTAACCATGATCTAGTGTGTATTTACTATGGAAATAAGGTTGAAAGTTAGAAGTTTTGATGGAAAAAACTTGGGATAACCTTGCTGGAAATTTTGCTAGGGATAGCCGAGTGGACGAGAAAAAATTTCAGTTTTATTGCTAGAATTTGTATGGTGATTTTGACATATTTTAGCTCAAGACACTTGACATGACTTTGATCTTCACATAATCCTCTGGTTTAGATGACTTAAATGTGCGAGAATTTGTAAAATAGTTCACATAATCGTTAACCCCAATGTGAAACAAGTATACAGAATTGGACACGATTTGTTTTGCTCCTCTTTTACCAAGATTCAACCTCAACTGTTTTTTAACCTCTTTGAAATACCACAACTGCTTTTGAAGATCGATAACCTGAGAAATGACTCGAGATCAATTACCTATATATGTTGGGAAATGGCAATATTACATCATTGGTGTTCATTTCTCTTAATTACACTCCATAAATGAATTACATACCAATCCGGGAAAGGTCTCTACTAGAGCACCAGCGCCACCAGATGCAAAGTTTGTACCATAGGCCAACTGATATTGGTAGCCAATTCGGAGACAAGGTGGAAGGAAAGGGAGCTTTGCGTATTCAGCTGCAAATGGTCGTTACAACAAAGTGAGCTTGTTATTCAACTACACATATATATGAAAAGGACATAATTAAGTGCATATTTTGATGATATTTATTTAAAAAGTCGAGCTACCTCCTGCCTACTTACCAATAAAATCAGGGATAAAATCAGGGATAACAGGGCCATCGCATAAGCTCCCTGACGGATATTTGAAGAAAGATTCTCAATATGGGGGAAAGTTGGCCTGGAAACCTGTAGTTGTGTTGATGTAGTTGTTGTTTCCAGGATCAACAAGTGAGTCGCCAAAGACGAAGAGGGCAGCAGTGGTTTCCGGATGATGGTCATCATGATGGAAATAATCCGATGGGATTGTTAGACTTGCAAGGACAACTAGTACTACTATTAAGCAGAGCTTAATAAGTTAAATTTGATAATTTTGTCCTCATATCTTTTCATCCAAAAAAGAAAAAGGACCTATGATTTAATTAGCTTAAAATTGTTAGGTATGAAAATGACTTTATTTTAAAAAAAATTAATATAAAAGATGAAATATATTATATGAGGAGCATGAAGAAGATGTGAAAGTTATTACAAAGGAAGAAAAAAGAAATAGAAAATCGTTAGATAGAGAATATTAGGTTGTTTAATTAGATAAGAATTTTGAATATAATTAACAAATAATAGTAGATTTGATAGATAAGATAAGGTAGTTGAAATAATTCTATTGATTCTTATCAAAATTAAGTATTCAGCTAGTATTCTTGTGCCGAAAAAATACACACAAGTTCAACACTGCTTAACAAGTTCAGGAGATAGATTTTTATTTATCAAACATCCAAAACATCTGAATGTTTGAAAAAGTTTAGTTTCAATACTTTTGTGTGTTATCAAACAGACCCTAAGAGGGAAGAAAAATGCTAAAAAGAAAAAAGAAAGGAAATTATGGGAAAGCCCCTACACAGTTAGAAACTATTCGACCTCTTGTTAACTCTGAAGGACTAAATGGACGTTCACCACTCCATCAGACAAGAATGCCCCTGAACAATTAGCAATTGTTCTCAACGCCAATGCAAATTTGAAGGGCCCAATTGACAACTAACAATTTTTATGAACTCGTCCCCTCTTCTTGTGCCACGTTGTGTAGTGGTTTAAGAAAGTTGTTTTAAGGGTTAATTCCACTCGGACCTCTCAAACTATGCCCGAAATTCCACTTAAGTCCCTAAACTTCAAAATGGGACACTTAAATCTCTAAACTACAAAATCCGTCTCACTAAAGCAAAAATTTTGACGGAATCCAAAGAGTCGTCAGTTTTCCTGGAGCATGCAAACACACTCGCTCTGTTAACCGAAGGGCATAGACGAAAATTCCAAAAAAAAAAGGCAAATGAAGTGGGCCAAGAGACGGAAAGTTTCCCTCCAATTAACCAATACCAATGGATACTTAGATGCCCCAATCCAAATCATAAAAGGGCATGGATATGCGCTAATCAAATTGAGAACAAACTACGACTCTTCAAATGGGGAAGTGAAGAACTAAGAAAGAAGAAAAAGAAGCAGGCTACAGCAAAATAGGAGGGATGGTTAGGGAAACTTGTAATTGTGGAAAACAAACACTACTGATCGCATCTTAGACAGATACAAACCCAGGAAGAAGATTTGTTCGATGTCCTCGGTATAAGGTAATGAACAAATGGTTTTTGTGATTTTGCTTACTGTTGGAATTTAGGTGTTTGCATTGCAGTCACCTAAACATGTCTTCATTGTTTTGATGATGTTGTGGTATGCAAATAGGAACCGAGAAGCTATAAATATTAGGATTGGGTTGATCCTAAGATGTGTCAAAGGTTCAAGGAAATAATACCAGGACTGTTTAGGTCCAAAACAAGATTGCAATTGAGGTCGAGATGTGGAAGGAGAAGGCAAAGCTGCAGCAAGGAAATGCTAGGAGGCTAAAGATGTACTTGATGCTTCAATGGGGTGTCATTCTCCTGTGGCTTTGTTTCTTCAAATCTGGGGCAAAAGGTGAAAATAGAGTTGGAGAAGATGCCACACCATGATGTGGAAAATTGTTGTTTTTGCCTAATTATGGGACCGAAGGTCATTAGGGGGTAGGGTATCCAAGTTTTGTAGTTGTAGGTATTCAAAAGTAGTGGACTATGTACATAACCTAGTTCTGGTGTTGGTACTACAATACTGCAACGGATGAGTGTTTTTGCCGGTTATGTAATTTGCAGTATTAGCTATTATTTTCGGATGCAATGCATTATTAGTGGAGCCTAAGTGTATCCTTGCTTGTAGTTTAGGGACTTAAGTGTCCCTAACAAATGAAATATAAGGATTTGAAAGATCCTTTTTTTGAAGTTTAGGTACTGAAGTGTTTCATCATTTATATAGAATAGTTCCTCTAAATTGTCCCCTATTATGAAGTTCATTCTAACTTGGTACCAACCACAACATTTCATAGCGAAAAAGGCAAGCTTGGCCTTACACAGATAAAGAAGAGTTCAATTACTACTAAAAATTGTAATGTTTACAAATATAGAGTAGGTTGTCATTACTATTATCAAATACTGCTCATTGTTAAGCTCCTATAGCAAAAAAATTTTGGAGCGGGTTGTTCTAGTTGCTTTCAAAAACTCATTACCTAAACCCTAATCCAAGTACCTAGTTAGTCCATGCAATCTTCAAATTCCCTAACACCAAAAGCTCAGCTTGAAATTCCCTAAGCTCAAGCTCCTTTCCCCTAAAGATGAGCTCGAAATTCCCTAACACCAAAAGTTCTTGGCATTTAAATTCCTAAACTAGCATGTTGGTTCGGATCTTGATATAGATGCACAATCTCAATGCCAGTTGAATCCTTGTGGTAGCACGCAGCCCTCTGTAATGTAGACAGGTTAAGGAACATATTACCCCTCCAAGTGAATGGTGCTAGTTGAAGTCCTTGGGAAAGGTGGGAAATTGTAACCAAGTCCTTTGTGTGTCTCTCATCTAGGTATGATTTTGGAGCTTTCATTGCTACTCCGACACTGTGGAATAAACTCTACCTGTAGCAAGTATTCTTGTTATGGAATACTTTGCCGCAAGCATGTTCATCACTCACTGTTTTAATTTGAAAAGTGCTCTCACATTGCATTTTCGAGCCAAGAAGCTCTCAACCACAGCCTCCACATTTCACTCGCACCCTATTTGTGTCATTCTTGGTGAAGTAAATATCCCTCCAATCCATAATGGTTTGTATTCTCACTACTAATCTAAAGATAACCACTGATGTGAACTGCTGGCCAACCATAAATTTAGCACTTTTCATATCAATTTTTTCATTAAAAACTGGAAACTTAGGTCTCTTATTTCTACGGCAACCAGATTCTTCATCTGAGTCACTTTGACTCTTCAACTCTACAGAAGCATTTGATTCATATTCTGATTGCATGCTATCAATATTTATCATATTAGGATCCTCACAACCATTGACTTCGACTGCTTCTTCTTTTTTCCTGCCTATTTTCTTCATTTTTTTTTTCACATTTGCATTAGAAGGCCCAACTTCATTTTCTATGGGGTTGCAGCTAGGGTTGCAAATGAGTCGAGTCGAGTCGAGTTTTGGCTAATCGAGTTGAGTCTCGACTTAGTTTTATCAAGTTCGAACTTGACCTCGACCTCGACGAGCTACCAATCTAAAGCTCGAGTTTGAGCTCAACCCAAATTCGAGTCGAGCTCGAGTTTCAAAAAGTAAAAAATAACTATTTTATTTTTTAAAAATGAATAAAATAATATTTTTTCTTAACAAATAATAAAATATTAGGAATACATATGTAATTTTATTATTCAATATATATATATATATATACTCAAGCTGCCTCGTGAACTGACAAACTTAGTATTTTTTACTCGAATTCGAGTTCGAATTCGACTTGGCTAGCTCAAGTTCGACTGGAGCTCAATGTTGATCGAGCTCGAGTCGAGCTTTAACTCGAACCACTCAAGAATGGCTTGATTCGTTTGCAGCACTAGTTACAGCTGAATTGTTGCCCAACATTTATGCATTCATCAATTATATCAGCTTCATCTGTAGCCATTTCATAGTCTGAGTCCTCTAGTTTGTCATCAATAGGCATGTCTTCACATTTACCATCGCTATTTTCCATTGCCTCCTTGGGTTGATCATCACTTGGGTAGTAAATTTTTGCTTGCTCCAACATATTGAACTTCATCATCTTTGCTGCTATTATTTTCCTTTTCATCATTCGCATCAACTTCATTGCTATCATGTTTCTCCACTTGTTCCCCCTCAACTTCATTGCTGTTGTCAACTCTCAAGTCTCCTAAGTCAGCTTTGACTTCCTTATGTATACCATCTTTTGCTACCTCATCGTCAAGTCCCCACTTTTCTACTATCACAATGTCACTGTTGCTCTCATGTGTGGTTTCATCTTCCCAATGTTGATTTGAAGGAGCTTCATCATATGCCTATTGGATGTGGAGCCTCATCACGTTTGCTCCAGGTACAACCCTTAGATACAGCTCTCTAACTCTATTAGTTGGTAATGTATTCACCATTACCTTGCAGTCTCTATCACACAAGCAAAAATATAGCCCTGTGTTCATTGGCATCCCTAGTAATCTACAATGCCATAAAAACCCGAGTCTTTTGGGTATCCAAGTTTCCACTCACATTTATTCAGCACTAGTAGGGACCACTCTTCTAGGTTGCAACCGTCTATGTAGTCCACTTGTGCTCCTAAGTATTGTATGTTGGGAGGGATTTGTGAAGTCACCTTGATGGTGTATTTTCAAAGTGAATGGTTGACCTCAAATTGCTCCATTACCACCCTCTATTATTAAAAGTAAGAATTTTTTAATTAAAAAATAAATTTATAAAAACTCCACTTGTACGATCAAGACCCCAATGTCTTCAATGGAGTAGCATTAGGGCTCCAACATCACAAATTTCCAGGTTATTTTTGAAATAAAATTTTCCAAGTAAGTATATTTCATATTTAAATATTTTCATAAACCCTAATTTTTCATTAATCCCTAACTACATCAGCCTATTTATCATTCTTCGATTTCAATACAAATCCCGACCCATCAACATATGTCAATTGCAAACCACCCGATAGCATTAATATATATCAAAAGCCACGAAAATAATTTTGAAGGTTCTTACTGGTTTCCATCTTCACATTCCCTTTCTTTGCCTTCGCTAGAGATGCCTTTCAATGCCCTGTCTTCCTTCCCATATCACAGGTTGCAATATATATTGATATATATTGCTTTTCCTATTCCTATCCTGCCTGTTCCGTTCATCTCCTTTCAAACTGATGTAGAAAATAGTGAACAATTTCTTCATTCTACATTAAATATTTACAGGCGAATTTACGTTCATGTCCTCGCCCTTTTCATTCACACAACTGACACAACCTCGGTTAATAGAGTGTGTTTGCACACTCTAGGAAAACTGACAACTTTTCAGATTCCGTCAAAATTTTTACTGAAGTGAGACGGATTTTGTAGTTTAGGGACCTAAGTGTCCCATTTTGAAGTTTAGGGACTTAAGTGGCATTCCAGGCATTATTTGAGGGGTTTGAGTGGAATTAACACTTGTTTTTATATATAGATGTTAGATAGCCGCTGCCCTTTGTGAAATAGAAGAAGAAAATTCCTTTGCCTCATTTATTATTTTTCTTGTGTATTTTCTGTTGCTTAATGTTTGTATTTGATTTGGGTCCATCATACATATTAGGTCGTCTTGTCTTTTTGTCATCCTTGACAATGATTTCAATTGATGTTAAAATGTCTCCTTCGAATAAAACTGAAGCATGCTCATGGTCAATACAAAGCTGCGTTCGCCTTTCTTTTATCCACGTGGATTCACAACACTATTTGATCTTTCAAGGATAACGAAAGAAAATACAACCATTAGATTGTAAGTGATAGAATTTTAGGTGGAAACCAAATAAATGAATCCATTAGTATTCCAAGGCTAGAGTATAAAGAAAATCAACTACGTATGGGACTTGGTTATGGAAAAGAAAACACTGCTGAACAGCCTATCAGTAGTATTTGGTTTCATCAATAGCCCTTGCACCTTTTTGTTGTTCTTGTCTTCGGATATTTGGACCATGGATCATGTTAAAGATTTTGAGAAAAGCCCGATAGTGCTCATTTAAGTTTTAAGTTGGCAGCAAACAGGGTGTCATCAATGAAAATCTATTAATTACTAACTCAAACAAAGCAATTTTTCATTGCATGATAGACATAATGCTCAGATTCTAAGGGAAACGACAACTTAATTGCAAAAATTGAGATTTCAAGATTTAGAAATCATGAGTTCAAATCTCCTTTCCCCTCTTCGCTTATTAAATGACATCCCTCTCAAGATAATCAAGAGATGCTGCAGAGGCCCCGTTCTGGGCCCGGACATGTGGCAGCCCAGTAATAGCCGAGTTGGGCCTTGGCCCTCAGACCCCTGGCAGCAGCCCTGGGCCGCACCGACTAGGGCTCCCAGGGGAGGCGAGAGTCCATCCCGAAGAGGTCGGGAGTAATCCCCCTGGGTGCGGGATACCGACTATTCTGGGCAAATCCCGAAACGTACGGAGGTCGGATTCCCTCACAGGTATAAATGACAGAACACGTCAACTGTACAAGGTACGCTCACTATTGGCAATTGACTCCCGACTGTCACTACTTCCAGTGAACCTTACTCACCGGAAAACTAACTTGGCCGTCGGAGTGCCCTCGGGGACAACCCTCGGGCCCCCTTTGTGAGATCACTCTTGTTTGTTTTGCAGGCCTCGGATCAGCTCTTCCATCAACACCCCGAGCTCGTCAGTTCAGCTCGGTCCGGGGAAGCTCCGCGTTTCTTCAGTTGGCGCCGTCTGTGGGAACCGTAAGGTAAGTAAGATTGTGTTGATGGCCAGGACGCGATCCAAGCGCACGGTGGAGAGCACCGGCCCTGGGGGCGGTGAGGGGTCCCAGGGTGCCGGTGGCTCAGCCCTTTCAGGGAAGCGAAGGCAGCAGATCTTCCAGTTTGTGACGGAGAATCTCCCCATGCTGGAGGATATAATCCGACAGGCGAAGGAGGGAGATGGGGCTGGAGGTGCGCAGACCTCCAAGGCCAAGGGGAAGGAGAAGGAGTCACTCCCTGACCCTTCGGAGGATGAGTCACGAGACCAGCCCCCCAGGAGGAAACGACCACGGACTCCACCTCGCCCGCGAGCCTCGGTTGTCGGGGACAGCGAGAGGTATTCCCGCGACCGGTCCGCGAGGAGCCGTCCGAGAGACCCCTCCCCACGGAAGCCCACGCTGAACGGGTTCGAGCGTTCCCCTGCTCGGTCTGTCAAGAGCCGACCCCGAGACCCCCTTCATTTGGAACCAGCCAGGGATGAGCTCGAACAGATCCTGAGGCCCCGGCCTTACGAGGACAACTACGCGACCTCGCCCTTTACCCGAGAGATAGAGGATTACCCGCTACCCCGGAGGTTTAAGATTCCGAGCATCTAGATGTACGATGCCTCTACAGACCCGGAAGACCACCTCTCGGTCTTCCTAACGCATATGCGCCTGCAAACCGCCGCGGACGAAATCCACTGCAAAACTTTCCCTATGTTCCTGAAGGGGAAGGCACGACTCTGGTTCCAGGGGTTGAGGCCAGGTTCTATACGAAGCTTCCCCGAGTTGGCTCGGCAGTTTGCAGCCCAGTTCGTCTCCTCGAAGGTCTACGCGAGGAACGCAACTCACCTGATGTCCATCAGACAGAGGCCCGATGAGTCGCTGAGGAATTTCATGACCCGCTTCAATGCGGAGAGCTTGCAAGTCAGGGACAAAGATGAAAAAGTGGTAATGGCCGCCTTCACAAATGGGCTCAGGGCAGAGGAGCTCTTCTACGACCTGGCCAAGAAACCTCCCGTAAACCTGGAGGAGCTCCTGCGCAGGGCGCACGAGGCTGCTAATGCGGAGGAGGCAGGTCGCCTAAAGAAGGAATCAGATCGGGAGCTCGGAGATCGGAAGGGTCGGACAAACCCCCACGAGGGCAAGGACGTTCCGGCCAAGAAGAACGTCTTCGATCGGCTCTCGAAGGAGAAGGCCCCGGCTCCGCCACCACTCCCAGAGAAGACCTACACTCCTCTAACGCGGCCCAGAGCCCAGATCCTGGCCGTTATGGAGGCGGAAGGGCTGGGAGACCGGCCGCCCAAGATGGGGACGCCCCGGAACAAAAGGAACCAGGACCGATACTACGCCATTCACCGCGACGTCGGACATGACACGGAGGGGTGCTGGGCCCTGCGTAAGAAGATCGAGGACCTGATCCAGCGCGGCTTTCTAGGTCGGTTCGTACGCCGACCAGGTCAGGAGTTTGGACGCAACCACTACGGAGATAGGCGCGAAGGACAGCGTCGCGACCGCCCAGAGCGGCGTGACGCCCCCCGGAACCACTCCCCCGACCCGGATGGCCAGAACCTAGCGGGGGTGATAAACACCATCGCTGGGGGCCCCATGGGAGGAGACAGTCACACAGCTCGGAAAAACAGGCGACCTCCACCCGAGGGGGATGACTCCTTGAAACGTTTGCGCATGGACGAGAAGATCACCTTCGGACCAAGAGATGCGGTTCCCATGGCGTCCGGAAACCATGAGGCCATCGTAATAGACATTGTCACCAACAACTACCGGGTGAAGAAGGTGTATGTCGATCAAGGTAGCGCGGTGGATATTATGTTCTATCGGGTGTTCAAAGAGCTCGGATTGAGGGACGACCAACTGACCCCGGTTCGAACACCCCTGGTAGGCTTCACGGGGCCACCCATTAATCCAGAGGGAATGATCACCCTGATGGTCATGGTAGGGCAGGCCCCTAAATGCCGGACCATCCCTGTCAATTTCGTGGTGGTCAAGCAGCAATCCCCGTATAACGTGTTCCTGGGTCGGCCAGCTTTGAACGCCCTCCGAGATATCCCGTCTATCCTCCATCTCAGTGTGAAGTTCCCCACTCCGGGAGGGATAGCCGAGGTGCACGGTGATCCAGAGGTGGCCAGAGCTTGCTACTTGGCCACGCTCCGTGGTCCGGAGAAGATGGTCGCCCAGACGACCAGTTTGGAGCCCTATATCCCAGGAGACGAGACACAGCAGTTGGGCACACAGGACG